TGAAATTACTAGCATGGCTTGTGGAAGTACATGGGGGACCTAGGGCCATTTGGGTTCAGGGTTTAGGGTTTAGGGTTTAGGGTTAAGATGTTGTAGGCGACTGTGAGAGGTATACTGTAGGGGCCTTAATAATTAGAATAGGGTTTGGGGTATACTATACCATAATTATAGTAGGGAACCCCCAAGACCCTATTCTAATTAATAGGGTCCCTACATTAATCAGATCTTCTACGGTTTTTGCCGAGCATTGAAGGGTTTTCCTTTCGTTTCGGGCTTCACGGCTTTGTGGTTTCGAGGCTAGGGCTTTTTAGGAGTGCTTTAGGGTTTCAGGGTTCGGGTTTAGCTTGTTTTCTCGTACCTGCGCTAGACTCCAGTAAAGCTCAAGGCGGTGAACATCCCGGAGTTTCGGAGGTTCAGAGTTCACAAGCTCTAGGGTGTAATTCGGGAATATAAAGTACCATCCTCTTTCAATAAAGAAGAGAGGAAAGCTCTAGATTACTAACTGCGCTCGTCTAATGTCTCCTCTTGGGCATACTACACGTATATAACGATATCGCACCCACTTCGATTCACTTGAGCATCGCAGTTTAGGGTGCAGGGTTGGGGTAAGCTGTGCAATGTTCTTCAGTCTTCAGTGTTGTGATTCGTGAACCCTGTACAAGATGTATGGCTGCAAGAGCTTGCAGTTCTTGGCACCTTAGGGTAAGTAGAGGTTTTAGGGGCTTAGCATTTAGAGTGGTGTGGAGCTTGGGCGAATTTGGAGGGATGCACAGGCGACTAGCTGCTACACGGATTGAGAGCTCTGGCTCTCCCTCCCTAACTCCCCAGAACACCCTACCCTAAACCCTACCTTCCGAACTTCCCTCAATCCTCAGACTACCACAGGCGCCAGGAAGCACAAGTCAGTGCAAGTCGACCGCCGGCTCGGCAAGAGATCCTTAGCGCCAAGCCCCTTATGGTTTAGGGTTTAGGGTTTAGGGTTTAGCCTTGAGCTCTAAGCCCACAGCCATAAACTCTACACCCCTAACATCCCCTTACCCTGAGCCCTAAACCCTCTCCAAAATCTTTTTACCCCCAAACTCGTAGTACTGGAACCCCCAAGACCCTACCCCCTAGCCATGGAAGAATCCGTATAGTACCCTCATAACAGTCGGCTTGGGACATAATGCAATCCTCCCAGAACTGATTGTATGAACACCTCGAAGAGCCCTCATATTGCCGCGCAACAAGAGCCCTGCCGAAAAGAGCTGCGTCCTGAGCCCATGGGCACCACGGTCCAAGCTGCAGAGGAGCCCCAGGCCAGTGAGAAAGCTTTTGCAGAAGAGGGCACAAGATTATTGGCATACTCCTGGACCCTCCATCTAACCTCACTAGACCCTAAATACACGTTAATTTGGGACCATGTACCCCTATTGAGGGTACATGGAGGGTCCTGGCTTGTTGCGGTATTTTGGGGTTTTGCAGGCGTGTCTATAAACAGTGTTATACAATGAGATGGTTATTCATCAGCGCGTAAGTTAAGGCCTCTCTTAGGACGTGCCAAGTGCTACTACTGTAGCCAGGGATCCTTCGCACTTCCAATGCACTGACAGTATAAATCGGCTGCAGTACCTACTATAAGGGCCCACGGGCCCACTGTAGGGGCCTTGATGATTGCCTATACTATTTTTGGGGTTCCTTGTTATATTTCAGGTATAATATATCCCCAAAACCCTATTCAAATTACATTATACTGATTGCAACTCCAAAACTTTGAACCCTCATCCCCGAGACTGATTGCAAAACCTTTAGAACCGCTTTACAACCCTGGTAGGCACCCTTCTAGAGCTTTTATAGAGCGCTTATGAAACCCGAAATTCTAGAGCCTTATAACCCCTAAGCCCTCAACTCCTACTACACTCTACCACTCAACCCTTGTCAGACCCTGAATTTTAGGAGCACGGAGGTAGAGATTGTTTAGAGACTCCTCAGCGTTCCTCGTTCTACAGCGTGCCTCTAAGCAATAATCTTTCTGAGCACTGAACCCTAAACCACTCTATGGAGCAGCACTTAAACCGTTACAAGGGCTTATATACCCCAAGCCCTAAACCCTAAACCCTCAATTATAGTCCTGGTGTAATATCAGCACCTCCGAACGTTTAAGGGTCTAGGGTTTAGGGTTTAGTTTTTGGAACCTCTGCAGGTGGCTCTTCAGCGGCACCTGCTCGCTGCGAAATAGCTGTCAAGGTCAGCGGGGGCTTCCAGAGTCTGGGGCTTACAGGGTTTAGGGGTTTAGGGTTCAGGGTTATTCAGGGGTTGAGGGTTTAGGGGTTTAGGGTTTAGGAGTTTAGGGTTTAGGGGTTCAGGATTTAGGGGTAGTTTAGGCTTGAGGGGTTTAGGGTTTAGGGTTGTACCCATTAACCTGTGGGTCAGAGTTCGTGAAGGGTGCTTCCACAGGGTTCCATTGGGTTTTGTCCTCCCCCGCTAGGCTCATGGGTGTAGGGTTTAGGGTTAAGGGTTTAGGGTGTATAGAATATGTCCATATATGACGGTTTGGGCGCCTCAAGAAGGGGTGTAGGCAAATGTGGCATATAGCTACCTTCCTGTGAACCCTACCTGCTCCGTCCGCTATCTCTTTAGGCTGCTGGGGTCTAGGGTTTAGGGTCTAGGTAGGGTTTAGGGTTTGGGGTTTATATAGGGCTACACTGTGCAATGTTCCGTTGTTGGATGTTCAATTTTATGGATGGCACTATACAAACGAGACAAGTATCCAACAAAAGAACAGTATTGAGCAGTACAGGTAGGCTCCAGTGTTTGGACAAGGGGACCTGCTTCTTGCTTCATTCTTACAATCCAGGCTGTGAAGCTCACTATCGTGAAACCTTGCGGCAGCTGGAACAGGCTGGCTTTGCAGGCTGGACTGTGCGGGCACTGGACCGGGAGCTGAACGCACCGAAGCTCTCTGCCGCGGCGTGCCAAGCTGCTACGGCCGCGCGTCGCGCGGACGCTGTTTGGCTTGCCTTGCGTGTTGGCTGCCATTTGGCAGTGTGCCCCGGACGATTTCTTCTTCGTGGCCGAGGATTCGCTGAAACTGTTCCAGAGCACCACAGAGCAACAACTTCGGCGGTTGTGCGCCCGGCAGGATGAGTTTTCAGAAGACGGAGTTGTACGAGTGCGTTCTGATGCCTGCACAAAATATGTAGACTTCAGACCAAATTTAGACTCCTTGGAGGGTTCGGGGACTTAGTAGGTAGCCAGTTTATAGACTTAAAACCTTAAACCCTAAACCCCTAAACCCTAAACGTGTCAAAACCAAAAGGAGGATCCTGTGGAGGGCACTTATGGGTCTACTTTTTACCCAAAGGCTCCATGTACCTTTATAGTAGATACTTAGGCCTTGACGGGGTCCCTATATAGGTACTTTAAGGCCTAAGTATCTACTATATGGGCACATGAAGCCTTAGGCTTACCTACTTAGTATGTCCCCGTACCCTCCAAGTACGGATGGAGCTTTTTGCTTTTCAGGGGCCTCCAAGTTATAGTCCGGGGTCTGCAGCTGAAAGGCCTTGGGGGTACACGGTTTCGTGCTCGAGCGGGCTCACTTGGTACCTTAATTGGAATTATATGGAAATATAGCTACGGTGATCCTAAACCCCAACCCCTAGACATAAACTCCAACCCCAAAAACCTAAACCCAAAACCCTAAACCCTTAAACAACTTAAACCCTACCTCCTACATCCGGTTGTTTTCTCAGCAGAATTCACAGGGTTAGAGGTTGGGACCTCCGAAAAGGATCTGGGATCTCGGTACGTAGGTTTCGAGTTGAGGGTTTAGGGCTGTTCCGGTGCCTTTGCAGGGTTTTGCATGTCTTGCACTTTAATGCGCAACCCGAAAGAAAGACGATTTCAAGATTCCACAATTATATAGTCGTTATTACCCACAGGCATTATTACCTTTTCTGGTTCAGGACCCATCATTAATCATTAGGGAGCATGCTTGGAGGTGTAGTGTGTTGTGTAAGTATGGGACTGGAAAGAGTTTGACAAAACGCTTACCGGCCAAAGCTTGAAACACACACACACACACATACATATATATAGATATATATATATATAATGTATATATATATATGTATAATATATATATATAATATAATATATATATAATATATAATATAATATATAATATATATATAATATATTTGTGTGTATTAACTTAAATTTAAATGTATGTATGTATGTATGTATGTATGTAGGTATGTATGTATGTATGTATGTATGTATGTATATATGTATGTATGTATTTATGTATATATATATATATATGTGGCATGGACCTTTATGTACTATTTGGCGATCTCTTTTGTTTTAAATACAAATAGCTATATCTTTTTAATTTTTTTGTATTGAGGTCCTTACGGGCTCGGGACTAGTACAGCGACGACGACAATGACGACGACGATAACGACGACGGCGACGACGGAGACAACACAGCAAGCAAAAGATCCCTTTCGCAACAAAGGGCCGTGGTTGGGACCTGGAGAGTGCTGTCAAACATCTATGAGAGCTTCCTGGTGGGTGGCTTGACACCATTCATAGTCATATTTGAGTTGCATGT